CTGGTGAAAATTTCATGTCATTAGCACCTCTAGTAATATATTTACTGAGAAAAATGTTGACGTGTTCAATACTTATTTTACCCGCTGTATTTCAATGTTCATAGTGGAACACATGCTGTCATTCATGTTCACAATCTCACTAAGAGCTATTAGTAGTATTTTTAACAAACACATTTTTGTAACCACATACATATTAGACATTTTGTTCAGATTTCAGGGTGTTCCAGCCCTGTTTCAGTTTTCTCCTCTTGCTGCTCTGAAGGTCAATGATAATCACTTCTGACACACAAAAAAACCACTTGAGTGATCATCTGGGCCCTTGTTTTTAACAATGGCAGCAGTTAGTACTTTAGGTGCCACTTCACAGTGCCTCACAAACACTCCTCTAGATGATGATTGTGGTTATGTAGAAGGTCACTGTGTAAAGAAAACATTATGGTCAAAAACATTCCAACCACTTGATGAGCACATACTAGTCGAATCACTATCATTATTCGGAAAAAAAAGTGTGTAAGGAAGGTACGTCCCGTGACAGTAAACACAACCTTGTGCATTTGTGTTTTATTATTTCCCTGATGATATTCAGAACTGCCACGTAAGCTTGTTTAACACACTTAAGTTTAATTTAATTGCAATCAAATTAATATTGCAGTCTGTCTGTGCCAAGTTCCAGATAAAAACCCAGACTGACACGCATCTGACCATGTTAGCAGGAGATTATTTGAACACAAGAGACACTCTTGGCATCCTATTTCCTTTAGCCAATGAAATATAATTAAGAGGATAAGGAATTGATCCTTGATTGTGAGCCCCATTAATATGTATTAATGAGGCCAGTGTATTAAAGGTTTTTCTTATCAAGAGCCACTAATGAGTTTTAAAACGATCAATATCTCTTAAGCCATGGCTTTAGGGCCATAACATATGAAGGCAATAGGCTCAAAACATCAGTAAATCAGAAGATTGGGACTCATAAAACTATGTTTCAGCGAGGTTACAGTACATATAACATGAACTATAAATGCAGCCGCATTTGTTTATTTCTTTCCACAACATTGATTGTTCATTAAAATAATCATTTAATCATTAGAATATTTACTTTCACATTAGAAGCCACTTTCATGAGCAGAGCTAGCGGGTGTTATTATTCTGCAGTCTGTTTCGCAGTTCTCCAGTGGTCTATTATTTCTGATGAGCCGACGCATTCATTAAAACACAGAGCTAAAGTAAAACATCACACCGCCTAATTGGTGGGATAATTCAAATAAATGATAAAACTTGGGCTCCTCTGGGCTGTGAGGCCCTTCATCGTCTTTTACCTTTTAATTTGACTCCGTGCGTCTCCGCTGTTCAATCGATCCATTACCACAAGGACCATGAAAGGCAGGGATTACATGTTGGGTGAATACTGGCAGATAAATCCTGAATTAACTTTTAATTCCTTGTGAAGGGCAATGCTTCAAATGGAAGATTTTTTTTTAAACGTTCTCTCGTTGAGCTGGAGCCCTAAAAGTCATGTGGTGTTACAGTTTAGGTGGATGTGTTTTTCTTAACGGTTCTGCCTCTCGTATGCACATCCTCCTGTCGGAAGCGCCGCCTGTGCTTCTGCGTGTGCGAGTACCTCACAGCGTTTGCTCCTGTTTTCGTGCCAGGCCCCCCCAGCCCTCCAGACTTGGTGACGGTGGAGGAGGTGACAGACAGCACGGCACAGCTGGCCTGGAGCCCCGGCAGGGACAACGGCAGCCCCATCTCCAGCTACCTTATCCAGACAAGAACTCCGTTCACCGTGGGCTGGCAGAGGGTGAACACAGGTAGTCCCCACTTGCAAGATACGGGTTTTATCTTTTTTATCTCAAAGCAGATATAATGATATTCAGATAATTCAGCGATCCCCGCAGGAGCCCGCTGGTCTTCCAGGGCTCATTGCGGCTGAGCAGGTCAATGTCGGGTCAGCAGCAGAGCAAAAAACTCAAAGGGCACTAAAAATTCAAGGTCTACCCCATGAGACAAAGAGGTCATTGTTGGTTTGTTTAGATTATTTCATTATCATAAAACACCTATAATAGCACTTTGTATGCAAATGTCTGTAGAAAACCAGTATCCACTAAATCTGCTTCAAGTTTCTTGGCAAACATTTGGATGTTGCTCCTAATTTTGAAAGATTGTGTTCCTGAAGGCTACAGTGTCCTTCGCATTAGTTTGAATGTGTAAATGTTGTGTTAGTCTTCCTCCTATCCTCAGTGGTCCAGAATATTCTCTGTGTGAGGTTTCAGGATGAAGAGACCCAGGGCGCAGGCAGGCTCAAAAATGTAACAAAAATTTATTAATAAATAACCAAAGGAGGGCTGCTGGCAGCAAACTTACAAAAATGGAGAGTCACAGGCACAAGGAGAACAGAGCACGAGGAGACACTCACTGGCTGAGGGAAGCAGCACAATGAAACAATCAACAATGATCCGACATCAGACTGAGACAGGACAGGGTTTAAATACACAGACTACTAATTAC